ATATGGTTCTATTCAGTCATGGAAATTCATATTCAATGCATAGGTTTCCACGCGAAATACTGACGTGACCCAGTTTTACAACGCTACTGCTTTCACAAAACTCACCCGTAAATCAATAGAAAATCTTCTCCAAGTTTATAAAATCAACGAAGTCCACTTTATTTGCTCCTTTTTTATCAGTGAATATTCGTAAACTATAAAAACAAACAACAGGCGGTCTGAATTTCGGAACATGAAGTGATAGAGAAAGTGTATTCTTGACACGTGATTAAATGGTGTCAAGAACAGTTGCCTCGTTTCGCTCTGTTTCTTATACTTCAAATAAGGCACAGAACTGCGAAAACGAGGCACTCACAGGGAGATAGTAACTGCTGGTTATTTTTAGGCATACGCGCATGCGTCTTTCCGTTACTACTAAATCAAGTGCTCAGAAGCATGGGATTACGTATGTAAACAGAAAATGCCATATTTGCTTAGAAATAAATATAATTTTCAGTTAGCATGAGTGAAAATATACTTTGTTGTTCCATATAGTCCAGCGAGGCGGTGCTTTTGACAAATTTCAGCGAGGCGCTTGCAAATATCATCGAGGCGGGCGCCTCGCTCATTTAAGGGCAGGGGAAACACTGATAATAATAATAATAATAATAATAATAATAATAATAATGCTTTATTTAAACTATCATTAAGTTCATATGATACATAATTGAAAGTAAAAAGTTTGTATCCAATACTAGAATTTCTCCAATTTCAGTTATAATAGCTGTTAGATATTATCCATTATTTTGGGTATATGGTACTTTTTAATTGTTTAAACTTTTCTTAAAATTTAGGACTTTCCTGAAGGACTTGATAGAGACCACCCATTGCTTTACTAAGATGCTGGAGCATTTCTGCAAGAAAAACAAGCTCTTGGTGGTGCAGAAGAAAAAGAAGGGGGGAAAGAAGAAAAAGAGTAAAGGTGCATTGGCGTAAACAAGAGTTTTTCTGGGGTTCAATCTAAAATGAAGCTTTAGTTATCGACAGAGATCCAAATCATCTTGTACTTGCTGAATGGTTTGTGAACTTGTGTCCACAGTGGGTGATCTTAACACACAGGGCAGTGATTATGAGAAATTTGACTGAAAATGTGTTTATGGAAATGGGTCGCATAGTGTCGTACAGTGATTATAAACATGATTTTGCCTAAACATTCCATACTCGCAAATTGCTTTCAAAATTGGTAAAACATCATCTTGACAGTTTTGATTTTTGTCATCTTTATTCTTCACGGCAATTTCTTGCACCATAATGATGATGTTACAAGTTTTCTTCTATATCTTGTTATCTTGTATCCCAGCGAGCAAGCAGAAACAGCCCCAAGGTCCAGAAGAGCCACAATTCACCCAGGAACAACTGGAGAACCAATGGGATGGAATATCTGGTGGCTTGTCCGCCATTTTTCAGGACAGAGGTCACGTCCCAGAAAATGTGACCCCATTTGATGCTGCATCAGAGGAAACAGATGACCAGCAGAGGTAAGTATATACTAGGTACTGTTTGACAAAGTGACTTAAAAATTGGAAAGGTCTCTTTCACAAAATCGTGTTTTGGGGCAACTTAATTACACTGTTGAACTAGCTGTGATGTGTTCATGCAAGAATAATCTTTTAGAAAAATAAAACAACTTTCAAATCCCTCCCAAAGTTGGCATGCTTTTTGTCCTTCGCAAACTTTCAACATGTCCATTTATTTTTCAAATTACTGTTTTTCTTTTTATCAAGAGCTTGTAAAATATGTGGGTATTACCTCCAATATTTCTGTGACTGTCAGTCACCATCATCAGGTGAAATGACCCTAGTCATTTACTCCCTGATAATGGTGACTGACAGTAATACCCACATATTTTACAAGCTCTTGATAAAAAGAAAAACAGTAATTTGAATTTATACATACAGAGCTAATGAAACTGTTCTCTCATCCATTTATTTTGTTTCAGGATTAATGCTATGGTGAAGATTCACGAGTTCCTGCGAGGTGGCAAGGCAGGAGAAGCTGTGGCCATGTTTAGAGCTGCCAGGTGGGGTTGAATTATTTAGTTGTAATGGTCAAAATATGGGTGAAAGTTATCAGGAATAAACCTGATTTCAGGATTTTTTCAGTCTTCATTTTGATTGTTTTAGTTATATGGTCTAAATGCAATGATGAATTGCGAACTACTTTGTCAGGATTTTATGAGACCATGTGACTTAAGGTTTGTGGTTTAGTATGATTTTAAAGTGGATTCACCATCTTTCAAACAAGGATTATTATTTATTTATTTATTTATTTATTTATTTTTTGACTTTATCCAAAGTAGAGCCCAATAATCATGGCATCTTCACCTTGAAGTCTACACCAGGAGTTTTCCATGACACCCTTAAAAAAAGAATTTTGACATCTTGTACTAATTAAGGTACCCACCTGGACAAATTATTTTTTGACGGGTGATTTTTTTTTTAAAGACAAAATAAATTTTAATGATATGCATATTTTCCCCTAGGGAGGTGTGGCCAGATAGACAGGAGTTTGGCACTCCTGACATCAGCCCAGAAGATGAATTTATGGCTCTCAGAGAAATATTCTTCACTGATATTCCAAGTGAGTCTTAAAAAGTTGATGGTCAGAATATGCATATTCATATTAGTAACTCATTTTTTTCTTTAAATATAGTATTATTTAAAGATCGCATTACTGTGACATCAGTATTTAGAGTTTTTAAAGATTCTATCCTTGGAATAAAAAAGTATAATATTTAAAACTTATTATTATTATGTTGTCCATAAAATCTTTTTTCAAATAGCGTTCTAAAATTTCTTTAAAATTCATTCACAGAACCTGCTGCAGCAGAGGCCACACAGGAAGAAGAGCTGCAAGAAGAGGACGATCAAGAGGAGATAGAAGAAGGTAGCTTGTGCTGACCTCTATTAGCAGAATCTGATATTTGACGTTCAGTGAATTCACTGTCACGTGGTATAAAATAATTGCACTTAACGAGTATGGTATATTAATGCAAATATTTTCATCTTTTTTCATTATTCTATTTTTGATGTGGTTAAGAAATTGATATGACTGATTCAGAAAAGAAATTAGTTATTTTGCAAAATTTACCTGGAGCTTGTTGAGGTACTGAAATGGCGAAAAACCTTTATCATGCAGTGTTTTATTAAGACTTTGAAATCATTTTATCTTATGTATATAAATTGAGTGCAATGTTCACATATTTTCCAGAGGAAGGAGTGTCAGCCTTTGAGAATTACGAACAGGAGTTCAGTTTCAGAGAGTTTATAGACAGGTGAGCATCGCCAGAAATAAAAGTAAATGTTTTTCACATTTTTTCTAGCATTTTGAACTTCCTTAACCTATAAAGTGTATGAATTGGGAGAGAGAGAACATTGTGCTATATTTTACATAATTAATTAAAATGCATTTCAGATTTGGAAATCCCCAAGTCTTGAAGCACTATTCACTTCTGCTCTCTGAGTACTCCAAGAACAGCACCTTCACCAATCATTGCATCGTCAAGCTCCTACATCGGGTTGCCGTGGATACAGGGAAGGTTGGGATGCTGTTCCAGGCCTCATTGTTCCGGACATTTCAGAAGATCCTCTTTGACCCCATGGCCAAGTCCAAACATTACGAGGTCAGGTTCTTCGATTTGAAATTTATAGTCACAGTCAGTGGTAATTTGAGATTAAAGAAGAGAAAAGAAAGGGAAAAAAAGATTCTTATTGGCTTTTTACATATAAAAGTAAACACTTATACTGAGCAAAAAGGTTCATTAGCTAGGTTGTTGGATAAATATGAAAATTCTCAGACACAAGCCTAAAATTTTCCGTACCGTTAGCTTACGGCCAACCTGGTCGAAGGCCTTCATCAGACTGACGTGAGTAGTTGTTCACACTCACTGACCGCTAGGTGGTATAGCGGCCAGGACCCTCTTATAAATGTCAGGTAGATCAACCCCCCCGTCCCTATTCATGGGTGGCTGGTGTCGGCTGATGTTGATGTTGACACGTTCACCATCTGCCACAGAGACCACATAACTGCTATCACCGATTTTATCAACAGCCAAGACCGTAACATCAAGTTCACTAGAGAGCTAGAGGATAACAATTCTATTGCTTTCCTGGATTCATTGATCACACGTGAAAACGACGGCCACCTGAGTCTGAAAGTCTACAGGAAGGCCACTCATACCAACCAATACCTAAACTTCCAGTCGCACCACCCATTACATCAGAAACTGGGGGTAGTAAAAACTCTAAAACAAAGGTGCAACACGATCGTGACTAATGAGGAAGACAAGACCTTGGAGAACAAGACACTAGATGAGGCTCTCTTGATGTGTGGTTACCCACCTTGGGCTCTAAAGACCAAACTTCGCCAGGATAAGACAGCAGTAACTAACTGTGAGCCAACAGATACAGTCGAAAAAAAACAGCTAGTGATCCTCCCTTATTGTAAAGGAATTTCAGAGAAAGTGTGCAGGATCTACAAGAAGCACAGTGTCAACACAGCTTTTAGACCTCAGTGCACATTGAAACAACACCTAGTGGCACCAAAGGACAAAACCCCCCAAGATCACCGTTGTGGGACAATATACAGGATCAATTGCCATGACTGTAATTCCTTTTACATTGGTGAGACAGGTAGACAGTTGAAGATCAGGGTGAATGAACACAGGAAATCAGTGACTGTAGGCAATACCAGCTCTGCCATTTCTGAACATGTAATAGACACCGGCCACAGTATAGATTGGAATTCAACTAAGATTCTTGAATCTGAATCATCCGACATCCCGCGAAAAATACGAGAGGCTATCAACATCAGCCGACACCAGCCACCCATGAATAGGGACGGGGGGGTTGATCTACCTGACATTTATAAGAGGGTCCTGGCCGCTATACCACCTAGCGGTCAGTGAGTGTGAACAACTACTCACGTCAGTCTGATGAAGGCCTTCGACCAGGTTGGCCGTAAGCTAACGGTACGGAAAATTTTAGGCTTGTGTCTGAGAATTTTCATATTTAAACACTTATACTGTTTAGAATTTGAATAGCTGTAGCAGTAATATAAATGTTATTTATTTTTTGGTATATCTTGTACATAGTTGTGTTTTGACAAAGAACCATAATAATACAAACTGGGAAGGGGGGAATCATGATTTTTTTCCCCCAAAATTGGGTATCAGTATAGAACATAGAATATGCATTTTTTTTATGTTTGAGTGTTAATGTCTGGCATTATTTATATTCTTTGATAATTTTCTATTGCAGGAGATCGTAACATTTTCCAAATATGTTGTCAGAAAATTCTTTGAGTGTGCCCAGAAAAATGAAAAGATCTTCGTGGAGCTGTTGTTCTGGAAAACCAACAAAGATGCCATGGAGGTGGTGGAAGGTTATGGTACATACAAGGAAAAGTAAGCAAAGATGGTGGATTGAGACTGCATTTCCACATAATATGTGGAAATTGGTGTTTTGTTGTTACTAAGAGCCCATTCAGAGCAGATGATCCTGGGATCTACTGATCCGGGAATCAAATATGGCTGACCCATCATAAAAGGAAGCCACATAATCTCCTAATGGTCTCACCGCCTCCACTTGCGCCATTAAAAGGATTAAATCTCATTTCTGAGGTTTAATTGCTAGGCCCATGCAAGGATGGCACGTGTGGAGGTAGAGAGAACATCACGGGATTATTAGTGGCTACCTTATCGTACTTTATATAAGTGTGGACATTGTATTAGATCATATAGATGTGTAGACACTGGGAAAAGTAGTTGTTACATTGAGGGTTGAAATTTTCCCCAAATGTCACATATACACTGACATAAGACCTGCAATTTGATATCAAAAGCATTAAAATATTATTGTAAGTTACATATCACATTGATGTCAAATTTGTCTCTTATTAGTGTTACTGTTTGATGTTACAGACATAGTAAAAGTGCCCCTGCGTGGACTGAAGAACAGGACGAAGAATTGAAGTACCTGTTTGACAAGTTCAGAGATGATACAGGTAAGTATTGTCTGGCATTGAACAGAGAGGATCTAGTTTGCATAACGCTGAAATTGCATTGAAATGAACATATCTGTGGTATGGGTGGATGCATGTAAAACGACTTATGTTAAGAATAAATTCTTGGAGTTCTTTTTAAAATTTAGCTTGAAACAGGTTAATTTTATAAGATTAAAATATGGCTGTAAATATTCTACTCGTTCACTAGCTCAGAGGGTAAATTTTACATCTTAAAGTAGAAGGCAGATAAATCAGCTTGAAATATACATATTCTCTCTTATGTTTAATTCAGTACTTTCTGCAATTACTCTTTTAGTTTTTATGAAAATTCAAACTTAAGAATGGGATTTTTGTGGCAAATAAGATAATTATAACCTGAATATACTGATGGGGTTTCAGAGAAAGACGTTGTAGACCTTATAATGGAGAATATAACCGACACAACCAAGACGAGGCGACAAGTGCTTCGTGAGCTGTGTCATCTGGAACTGATAAACAGTGCCAAGGATTTGAAGAAGCCCAGTTCAAGGTTTGTGCAATCTGAGTTCAACCTTGAGCACGTTACCCTGTGTAGTGCAATTAACACTTTCTTGTCTAATTTTCGGAGATCAGAAACTCCATCGTTTAAAAAAGGTATTCTTAGTGTCTCATAACTGGTTGTGAATATTTTATTTTCAATAGAACTATAATGAGATGCAAATATTTCCCTAGCTGGCAAAGAGTTCTTGCTTATTTTACTACTCTGTTTTTGCAAATATTGCAGAGGAGCTGCCAGAATCTGGAGGGAGGAGCAGGAGTATGAACTGAGGGAACTGTTTGACAGGTTCAAGGGTTCTGAAGGTAAATATACATTTATTTATTTATTTATTTATTTATTTATTTATTTATTTATTTATTTAAGTAGATAGTTATTGTTTGTTCATGAATTATTTTCAAAATATTTTTTTTTTATTTTTCACAAATGTAAAGGAATTATAATTACTGACTCACATTTTTTAGGTTTGTTTGTATGTTGGTATCTCAGAAATGTGAAATTAAAAAAAACAATGACAAATAAAAAATGTGCCAACCTTTATGAATCGTGAAGCATGCTTCATTTTGAAACATCAGGGCAAAGAATAATGTACATTCTATCAGCCAGTGTGACCAATAACCACGTCATTGAATCATCTCACCTTTCAGATCCTGTGGGCAACATCCTTAACAATATGGAGGTCAAAAGGTCAAAGGCCAAGGTCATAGAGAAGCTCCTCAGTATGGGTTTGGTGGAGGACAGAAAGGAGCTATATAAGAAGAGGAAAAGAAAGTCCAAGAAAGGCAGAGCTGAGGATGAGGATGATAGGTTTATTGAGGAGGATGATGGTGAGTTTTGAGTGGAGCTAGAGAGCCTTGTTATTATTTAAAATGGAATTTTAAGCATAGTGAAGAAATTTTGGAGAAAAGTACCCAAGAAAAAAAGGAGAAAGAATAAAGTGGCTGGTGGTTCTTGTTGTGAATAGGGTGAAGTAAAGGAGAATGGTGAGAGTGGTAGAACATTACAGAGCCCTCATTTAAAGTCCTTTAATATATGGTTATACAAATAATTTACAAAATGAATAAATAAAATGAACAAGTGAACTACTTTTAAATGTATACAATTAAATTTGATCACTAAAAGTTTGTCTCTGTAAACAACAGAAAAGAACTGGTACCTGTAGTATCATTTAAAACAAAACTTGAATATTATAACTATGGCAATTTTGAGAAGTCCTGTAGTCTTAATGTCACTTTCCATGTGTTTTTCATAGTTGTGGTCCAGAGAGCCAGCAGTGATGAGGAGGAGGAGGAAGAAGAAGAGCCTGTTTTATCCTCCTCCTCAAGTGACAGTGAAGCCTCGGCAGATGCAGATGAGGAGGCAGAGGATGATAAAGATGATGATGGTGATGGTGGAGACGATAATCATGATAAAATGCTGCACAAAATGGTGAAGAAGTTGTTCAAGAAAGGTGAGGTTCTAACAACATAACATTGTATATATCAACTATACAGTCTGTAACACAACTCTTTTTAGAATACTGCACCTTAAACCAGGATTAATTGAAGGGGGGGATGCAGATTTGTCTGTGTATCTTAAAGTCAAGGTTGGTTGGTAAATTTCAGTATTTCCTTTCAATTTTATATGAAGTTGATAAATAATGGCTGCTGTTTCAGGTCTGGCTGCACCAGTGAAGTGGGTCCAACAACGTCTGAGGAGTGTGGCTGAGGACAGAGAAAAAGAGAGTATGTTTTATTTTACATGATCAACTCCACTTAAATCTAGTGAGATACTTATAGTTTTGAGATTTTTTTAATGAAAAGAAAGGAAAAACTTTGGATAACGCTTTGGTGATATGTAAGTTTGTTGGATTTACCCAAATATTTGTGAGGTGATGTTCATGGTATGTTTCAGCTAATACCAAAGATAAATGCATTTGTTCTACCATTGTTAAGCTGTTTAATGTATGATAGAGGCAAACTAATATTGAAAGATGAATGATTCCAGACGAGTATGAGCCTATCCCTCTTGTCCCGCTGTCAGAGGAGAATGAAGATGCCATGGACAACAGCTTGTTCAGGTGTTTTCTCAAGAAAGCGGGGATATTACCGCCTTCTAATGAACAGGTAATTAAATAGCACACAGCAGGCTATGTGTGAAAGATTAAAATTACAAGTTATTGTGTAAGTAATGTAGAGATTTGCTCTTTGATATTGCTGCATTTAGGGCTAAAGGACTTGTGTCAGAACCAAAGTTATGTCTGCAATGAGTTTTAACAGTTAACTAATAGAAACTCCATATTGGTGGGTTTTTAAAGCAGAGAAAGGATAAATATGCCCTGATATTTTCATTCATCACAGTCTTTGCAAATTGATCTGTGAATTTCTAACATCCAGTGCTTTGTCTTGATATAAATTTTCAATCTTATTAATTTTTTTTTTTTTTCAGGAAAGATTCTGGCGAATCCCTGCCAATGAGTCACCAGCCAATCTACGCTCCACAGCCAATAAACTTGACGAAACTTACAAACCTCCAAAAAAGGAAAAAATCTTGAGCCCATCAGCAGGTTTGTCAAAGGAGAAAAGCGCAAGATTTGAGATGTTGAAAAATATGGCAAAGAACAAAATACGGGATGTGAAGGCAAAAGAAAAGGGAGAAAGAATTAAAAGAAGGTATAGAAATCAGTCTTTTATGTAGGTTTTTAATGACAATACAAATAGTACTGGGTCATTAAATTCAGCCAATCTAGTTTGTTTTAATGTCTCACATTTTTCGTGACTGAAATAACTACAAAATGTTGTCAGTGATTTGATTTATACTTATCTATTGCTGAATCTCTATGATAAATATCTCTTGTGGGATCAAGGAGGAACAAAACTAGGTTATATATTTATAGTTTCTGATCAAAATTGATAGCACATTCAGGGATGCTAGTCTTCCGGTTTTTACCGGAATTCCGGTTTTTTGCGTCCAGTTATAAAATTTTCTGGTACTATATTTTGTTCCGGAATTCTCGTTTTTAACGTGGTCGCGGACTGGACGAACGATGCGTCAGAGGAACGTCGCATTTCAACCATTGCGACAGAGCTGCGTTTCAACACAATATCTAGTCACAACCGTAGCACGTGATTTATTTATGGCGCTTGATTGGTTGGAAATGTAGGCTTTAATGTCGGCACCCATGTGGAAAGTTTTGACACCGCGTGCGCGGAATTTTGAACTAAACCAAACTAAATGGATTTCGCGGAGAGGGGAACAGACGATATTAGNCTCTATGATAAATATCTCTTGTGGGATCAAGGAGGAACAAAACTAGGTTATATATTTATAGTTTCTGATCAAAATTGATAGCACATTGAATTCTCAGTCTGTGACATATACTTCTTAACCTGCCGGCACTAAGAATCCCCTGGCCCAAAACGGAAATTGTACTGGCCTCATTTTTTTACTCTGGCTCTGTCCTGGGGAACGGTGCTTTTGTCCCAGACTGAATTCTTGAGTGTTTTTACCTGCAATTAACAGTCTTGTTTTTAGAATTGTAAATTTTTCTTATACACACATCATTTTGTACTTTTCTATATTATAGAACTGAGCAGACACATCCCTCCCCCTCTACACCAGGAACCACACCTACTGGCTCATCCAAACAGAAATCCTCCAGACTTAAACTGATAAGTGATGAATCTTCGGATGATGACAACGATGATGACCTCACCCCCGTCAGCACCCACCAAACCCCCCTCAAAGATGACACCCCTTCGAAGAGTGGACACAGGCTCCTGGATAGTGACTCTTCGGACGATGATGACCAGCCTTTGGCCCAGGCTGGACAGTTAAAGAGTAGCAAGGACAAGTTGACAGCATCAGAAGTGTCCCATTTGGTAAATAGCGATTCTTCAGATGATGAGCCAGTGACAGGCAAAAGGAAGTCCACAAACAATGGAAAACAAGATATTGAAAGTGATACAGATGACGATGAACCTCTTGCGGCAAGCATGCAGAAAGCAAAGAAGGCGTCTCTTGCATCAGACAGTGACTCAGATGAGCCTTTGTCAAAGCCCAGTGGCCCTAAGAGCAAACTCTCTGAGGAGACAAGAGCTCAGCTGAAGAGGGCGCTGGAGTCGGATTCCTCAGACGATAGGTACAAGCGTATTCAACATATTGCATTAATTTTGAAAAATAGTAATCAGACTTGACAGTCACTTATTATCTCTGCATTTCATTTATAATATTATATTAAAAGTGCACATTTATTTAAATTGAATCTTTTGATTCCCGAAATACTTATAAGACGTGAACTTTTATCATTTAATCTCAGCATTCTGAAGTTATTTATTTTATTTAATTTAATAGGTTCTGATGTTTGTCAGCATTAAGTATTTGGTCTCACAACAAATATTTAGATTTTTAATACGGGTTGATGCTGGACATACACTATTTATATAAAAAAACTTATCTTGTCCACAATTTCCAGTGATGATGACAGGCTAGTAATTGACAGTGAAAAGGAAAAGACAAAGCAACCGAGCAAGAGAACCAAGATCCAGGAAGAAAGTGACCTGGAAAAGAAAGAGGATAAAGAAAATATGAGAGACACTAGTGCCAAGGAGCTAGGTAGGGGTATAACTAAAATTATCATTTGATTTAAGTTGCCTGTTTGAGTGACTTAAGTTTTAAGGTTTTGCCTAGAGGGCACTTTTTTTTACAGTTTTAACTATTTGCAATGCAGACTAAAAAAAATTCTGATTTTCTAAAACAATTTTAAATTAATTCATTATTATTATTATTATTCATACATATTTTTAAAAGGGGTATACGTCTTATCAGTTTCATCTTTCAATTTGATTTTGTATTTTTCCCTCCCAATCCAGCCTCTTTTCCTGCCACGTTATTGTCACAAGGCCCTGAGAGTGACTCTGACTCTGACATCGAAGATCACATCCCACTGAGGAGGGGAGCTAAGAGGAAGACGATAGAAAGTGACAGTGATGACGATTAGAGTTGTATTTGTGCAAATATATACAATAAAAGTATATATCGAACACAGTTTTTACCTGAGTATCAGTGCAGTAAAACACTGTGGACAGCTCAGTAGTGGTTTTAATTTTAATGCAGATCAAATTATTTATCATAACTAATATCATTACATGAGTCTGATTGTTGGGCAAATAAATTGCGTTTCAGTACATAATATAATCATTAATAAACTAAATAAAGTTAGCTTGATTCACCGGATCTTTGACTTTCTTTTTGTCAGCCATAGATGTATATTAAAAAAATAAAACCTTTCTTATTTGTCTTAATGCTTTTTTAAGTTTGTAACAGATGTATTGCGAGTAGTCCACGTTTGGACAGTATGTGAAAAGAATAATTCATGGCTAAAATAATTAGGTGGAAGAACTGTTGTCATGAAATTGTCATCATTTTCACATTAAAATAATCGAGAAGAAATCCCCTGAATTTTTTATTACTAAAACAATAACAATGCGCAAACAATTACATCTGACGTATAAGTTTTTTATCTTTGCGTAAATTTTTTGCCCTCCGCCGCCCCCCCCCCCCCCCCCCCCCCCCAGCAGACCTTGGCAACACGGGCAAAGTCCAGCTAGGTGTACGATGCCAATACTTTAAAAACGTTATGTTATGATGGACAAATTTCTTTTTTTGAAATTGGTAAAATTCTGCATCAGCTAACATTTTGGATCTTTGCTTTGGTTAACAATAATCGTAAATTACATTGTCCTTTTTTACGGCACAGAAGTTTTTTTTTCCATAGACATGATGTACGTCTGTCGTACTGTAATCTGTTCCATTTTTTTATAAGAGGACCTTGCACAGAAATCTGGGATGACAAAATTCTGTTTGCTCTACCGTTGCCAACTGGAATAATGATTTATGGACTGCATAAGGGAAAATAAATATATAAACGAAAACTAAAAGTTCCTTTGACATTTCCATAAAAGGGTAGGAGCAGTAAGGAAGGAGTCATCTCAACCATTAGTTGCTCACTTCGCCCTCGCTCTCGCTGCTTCCGTTAACGTGAACTGCCATCGTACCATTATTTTGCATAACCTTGGATTTCAAGTCCACCATGCTGGATTGAGCAGTTTTGATGACGTTTCTTTCTGGAATTTTCTCGTGCTTGTGTTCTAACATCATGTGGTTCTGCGGGGGTAAACCTATACAGGCTCTGGAGTAATAAAACAAAAAGTATTGGTTAATTTGAGATCTATTCAAATCATATATTGAACTCTAGTTATTAGGCATTTTAGTTTATTGAGAAGTCTGTAGTATGCACGTTAACTGTGAAATTACGAATTCACCGTAGGGTTACATGAGGCAGATGCTAAGAAAAACGTCTTTCCAAGTCTCATGTAAATGTGTTTACATTGATCATACACCGAGGCCTATCAGAAAGCTTGTTAATTTTCCCTCACGGTGTCTAATCCAACAATGTGGTAAATTGAATTTACATGAAAGCTGTCGTAAAAAACGGCTTTACTCTGAATGCTTCGTCAAATTTAATGATAACATTCTCAACGAAAAAGATTTTTGTTACCCCATTTTGGAATTTTAATCGTTTGAGAATAACTTCTTCAGATATGAAAAATAACAACAGAGTGAGCCTTAACACAAACCTGAAGATATTCTCTATACACGCCCTCTGCCGGAACAAAGCATTCACCAACGGGGTTCCTCGCGGCACCAAGGGCGCTTTGCATAGGTAACTCAAAATTGACAACACCGCGTTGAAATTTTGAAACTCCTGTTCTTCTCTGACCCTAAACTGTATCCTTTGGCACATCTCTGCTAGGATAACGAGATCTAGGATAATTGGCGAGGCTAGGAGGGAGTCCTCGCACGTGTTGTGGATGGCGATGGTGTTGTGACCTCCCATCATTATTTCCGAGGTATATTCGTCCATAGCTCGCTTGCTGTCGCCAACGTATGGGACATATTTTATGACGACCTTTAGAAATGGAAAAAGAATAATTAGCAGTAAATGGAACACGAGCAATAATTATAGTAATAAAATTAATAATGGTGATGATGATGATGATGATGGTGGTGATGATGATTTTAATAATAAATAATTATAAAAATAAAGACACTGTTTTAATACAATGATTTGATTGACTAGTTGGTTAATTAACTTTATCACATTTTAATGTTAAAACTCACACAGTGGTCGGGCTTCTCCTCTGGTCCATACAGTATCCCATTGGACGCCACCATGTCATCCACAACGTTACTCTTGCTGATTTCTTTAGAGCGGAACTGCAGAGGAGCCGAGAGGTTCCTTCCGTCGTTGTTGCCAAGGTGGTTATAGCTAACGATTGAAGTGGGCTTGATACCGGCGCTGACGAGGAAATCGACCAGCACGGATTTGAGTTTGGTTTGCCCAGATTTGAAATCGTCGCCGGCTATGTAGACGCGCTCCCTCTCCGCGAGGTCAATGACTCCTGGGACAAAGGTGTTTTGAGGAGAGCCGTTGATGTAGCAACACTGGGTGAGAAATAATGATAAAGCATGTTGGAATAAAAATGTTTCAACGAAAGCTCTTAAGTGGCTAATCTCTCTCTCTCTCTCTCTCTCTCTCTCTCTCTCTCTCTCTCTCACGTCACTGCCTCAAGAAAGATGGGGATTTTCATTTTACTTTCTAAAATCGAGACCAGTCAGGACATTGATTAACTCAAACATTTTTTTCGTCAAATGAAATGTCTACAATCCATTGTTATGGGATAACATTTTCCCGCATGATATTCATCACCTACCCCTTCAAGTATACTGGCGACGGCAAAAATAGTCGACGGGGAAATTTCTGCAGCACCTCTTTCAATAGATTTGATTAAATTATCTCCTGTGTCATTAAGCCCGGGACAAACATCGCAAAAGCGTTCCGTGTTGGCCGTCCACAATACGATCACTTTGTCCAAGTTGGACGTGACTTTAAAATCTCTGAAGAATAAAATTATACATGTGTAGGGAGGTCTTTTTTTATATCGTTTCACCTTCATGTTTATTCTCGCCGCGCGATCCGCGCGAACTACTCAAGTATTGGCGAACGGACAATGGTGGAAACGTTGCTAACTGTTTTGATTATTATAATCTGCATCAAAAAGTATGTCAAAAGAAAGAAGAAACAGATAACATGAAAAACAGTTTCAGAAATATTCAAGATTATAGAAAGACTCATAATTTCCAACTAGAAGAAAGCTTCGTGAAAAAGCCATTGTGCGCGCAAAGGTTAAATTGTTGTCTTTCACACATGGTGTCATCAAATGTTTTAAAATTATAAATACCTTATATCTCTACGGATCTTTTCCAGGTGCTCAGCCTTGTCATACCCAGGGAGCACATTATCCGCTCTGTCAGCCTGGTTCGCTGCGATAAAATCTGGATAGTATAGAGATGGTCTGGGTCTCAGCCGCTCCATGTGGGGTTTCAACTGAACTTGGAGGTCGTAATCCAATACCTTTGCCCTTTCCATCGAATCAGCGAGATTCTCGGAGGAGATGTCCCATCCGTCTATGACCAGGTCATCAGGGCGAACCATCGGTAAGAGATCATGGAAAGGGACATAAATGTCCCCATCTGGACCAGAACCGAGGCAGATGGTGCTCGCTTGAGTGATGGACCTTCAACACATTTTAAATGCCAAATATGAGTGGAAGTAAAACTGGGTTCTCATACCTAGATCGATCTAACAGGATCGATCCATCTCCAAGGAGTTTCTTGCTAAATTGCTTTTAGCTTAAGCGTTTTAGATGTTTGGCACGCCTACTGAAGCTGCTAAACGATAATTAATTACCCCGTAGCAGTTTGATTAGCGTGACAGACATCTAAGCCGCTTAAGTTGATTGCAATTTATCGAGAATCCCCTCGGAGATAGATCGATCCACAGTTAGTACGACAGGGTCTGGGAATGGTCCCTAATAATCAATCTATGATTTTATTTAAAACTACCAGTTGCAATATTTTTTAATATATAAAGCTATAATAGCACACGACTTTACCGACCCGTAATAATTGGCGTGTCTGGTGCCATCTTTGGTCCGCCATGACAGACCGAGTTTATTGGCCAGCGTGGCGGCTGTCACCGTAGATCCGTTATTTCCTCCCCAGCCTACTAGCATCATACCGACCCGGGGTACCTGTGCAACCAGAAAAAATAGGATTGAGTTTCATCTATTTATTATTATTTTTTTTTTTACTAAATTAAGATATATAATGGAAAGGAGTTCATTCTTTTTTTCTAGATTTTGTTGGTGCCCTAAAATGAAGTGTAATCAGTAGGAGTCTTTTTCTCTTGTTGTTGAGTTTTTTTTTTTTTTTTTTTTTTTTTTTTTTTTTTTTTTAATTTTAAAAACATTTTTTTTTTCGGGGTCGCGGGCCCGGGGTTGGGGGGTTGGGTTTTTTTTTCTGTCGTTTTTTGAAAACAAATTTTTTGGGGGTTTTCAACATTTTTTTCGCTTTTTTTTTTCACCTTTTTCCNTCTTAGTCGTTATTGACTGTTACTAGTATTACTACACTTAAAGTGTGATTTAGCGAAGTCAGAATGTTAATTTCCTATTTCATGCTCAGTTGGGCTTTGAGAAATTGGACCAAGAGAGCAATAAAGATTGCTGGGATAATGAATAGAAGCTGTAGGCGCCGCCGGCCGCTAGAGAGGAGAAGAAGAGTGGAGATAGTGAGAGACCTGGGAAATGGGCATGTAGTGGTAGGTATACGCGTGGTGCTGAAATCAGGAAAAGCGTAACTGTTTGATTTGAAGTATCACGATTTTGTTTTGATGTAGGCGCACACTGGAATGTACCAATATTCACACTCTAGATATAAGATATGTTACAATGCATTTTGTGTAAATACTGTGAAGGGAATTATGCTGCGAAGATCGAGAGAAATATCCATTTTTTTCAGGTCCTGGTCAGATATAACCGACCAAGTGGTAATCAGGCTACACCAATGTTGGACCTTGAATAATATGGACGCTTTGTGTTCTGGATTTTCCTCGTGTTACTACCGGGAATGCTGTAAATGATCTAAATGACAAAGAGACACGCTAAGCAGAATGACAAATCGTTTCTGTTGAACAGGCAGAAACATTTTCTGTTTCGTGTACAGCATGAGGGAGGAATGAAGGGAACCAAA